GAGGAGAATTGATGAGGGAGAGCAGAGGAGAGGAGGGGTGAGTGGGGGTGAGAGGGGGATGTGGAGGATAGGAAGAAGGGCAGGGGGGGGAGGGAGGGGGAGGGGGGAGAGGGGGAGGGGGAGGAGAGCAGGTGTTTCATGCCCGCCAAGCAAGCCTCGCTACAAGGAGGCATTGTCTCTCCCACAATTAATCAACAACATGTATTTAGGCTGGCGCAAATTTGGGCCTTTGTGGTTGGTGATATTACGGCGTCGTGTGGAGGGATATTATGTGTTTGTGAACGTGTATGACGCGTGAGTGTGATTATACACACACACACACACACACACACACACACACACACACACACACACACACACACACACACACAAAGGTGTGTGTGTGTGTGTGTGTGTGTGTGTGTGTGTGTGTGTGTGTGTGTGTTGTGTGTGTGTGTGTGTGTGTGTGTGTGTGTGTGAGTGAGCGCGTGTGTGCGTGTGCCCGCAAACCACCGTTCAGCATCCGGCCAACGCCGGGGTTCCCTCGCTAATAACGATAAAATAACGCTAAAGTTAATATGACTTTTAAATCGTCATAAATTTGACTTTTATATAGTCCCATCAATTTAATTTCTCATCTCATTACAAGCGGCGAGGGACGAGGGGGGGGGCACCGCCCGGTCACCACGCCTGCCGCGGGCGGGCTATTGACCGGACACTATTGACCAGACACTATTGACCAGACACTATTGACCAGACACTATTGACCAGACACTATTGACCGGACACTATTGACCGGACACTATTGACCAGACACTATTGACCAGACACTATTGACCGGACACTATTGACCAGACACTATTGACCAGACACCATTGACCAGACACCATTGACCAGACACCATTGACCAGACACTATTGACCAGACACTATTGACCAGACACTATTGACCAGACACTATTGACCGGACACTATTGACCAGACACTATTGACCAGACACTATTGACCGGACACTATTGACCGGACACTATTGACCGGACACTATTGACCAGACACTATTGACCAGACACTATTGACCAGACACTATTGACCAGACACTATTTGACCAGACACACCATTGACCAGACACCATTGACCAGACACCATTGACCAGACACTATTGACCAGACACTATTGACCAGACACTATTGACCGGACACTATTGACCGGACACTATTGACCAGACACTATTGACCAGACACTATTGACCAGACACTATTGACCGGACACGAACAAAAAGTCCAAAACTGCACCTGTTGGGGGGCATTGAAGGGTTCGAACCTGCTCCCCTGGTTGTAACACAGACGCCTCACCGGGAGAGCGCTAACAATCACTTATACAACCCAAGAGACACGAAGATAAACAGATAACTGGAGATAAAGACTTGGAAGAAGTAAAGAGGTTAGAAGTTAGAAATAAATTTTTTGTTTGATAATCCTAATTAGAAGTTCGAAGTTCAAAATTAGAAGATCTAATTTTGAAGTGAAAAAGCACAAACTTCAAAATTAGAAGTTCCAAATTAGAAAAAAAGGAAGGTCGAGGTTAAAACGTAGATTTCATAAGATGTAAATTAGATGATGCTAGGTAGAAGTGAGATGCAAGGAGATGGACAACATTAGAGGATTCTGGATGCTGTAATTCAGACCGGGAGAGGACAGCATCCACACTGCCGAAAGATGTATTTACGTATGTAGGTTAGCTTAGCATTTTAAAAGCACCGAATCACCTTCTGTGCTTGAGTGTTCAATAAACCCTTGAACTATATATTTAACACATCTCTAACCCTGTCCATGGAGGACAGAAGAAATTGTATATATGCTGGTTAGCATTGTAAATGTGTGGCCACGTCTGTGGTAGAAAATAATAATAAAATAAATAATAAAAAAACTGCCAAAAGCACCAAAGATGGCGGCAAGAATTCTCAGTGACTCTTTGGTAATCAAGACAGGAAATCAGTAATTTGAATTTGGTAAATGTGAGGGATGGAGAAGATAGATATTACACTTAAAACGTGTATATGTGTCTATATATAATATATATATAATATATATATATATATATATATATATATATATATATATATATATATATATATATATATATATATATATATATGTCGTACCTAATAGCCAGAACGCACTTCTCAGCCTACTATTCAAGCCCCCGATTTGTCTAATAAGCCAAGTTTTCATGAATTAATGTTTTTCGTCTACCTAAACCAACCTAACCTAACCTAACCTAGCTTTTTTTTGGCTACCTAACCTAACCTTACCTATAAATATAGGTTAGGTTAGGTTAGGTAGGGTTGGTTAGGTTCGGTCATATATCTACGTTACTTTTAACTCCATAAAAAAAAATTGACCTCATACATAGAGAAAAGGGTTGCTTTATCATGTCATAAGAAAAAAAATTATAGTAAATATATTAATTCAGGAAAACTTGGCTTATTAGGCAAATCGGGCCTTGAATAGTAGGCTGAGAAGTGAGTTTCTGGCTACTAGGTACGACATATATATATATATTATATATATATATATATATATATATATATATATATATATATATATATATATATATATATATATATACTGTATATATATATGTCGTACCTAGTAGCCAGAACGCACTTCTCGGCCTACTATGCAAGGCCCGATTTGCCAAGTTTTCCTGAATTAATATATTTTCTCTAATTTTTTTCTTTTGAAATGATAAAGCTACCCATTTCATTATGAATGAGGTCAATTTTTTTTATTGGAGTTAAAATTAACGTTGATATATGACCGAACCTAACCGACCCTACCTAACCTACCTAACCTATCTCTATAGGTTAGGTTAGGTTAGGTAGCCGAAAAAGTTAGGTTAGGTTAGGTAGGTTAGGTAGTCGAAAACAATTAATTCATGAAAACTTGGCTTATTAGGCGAATTGGGCCTTGCATAGTAGGCTGAGAAGTGCGTTCTGGCTACTAGGTACGACATTATATATATTATATATATATATATATATATATATATATATATATATATATATTATATATATATATACCAGCACACCGCCAGGCCACGCCATGCTTTAAGCTATTCAATCTGGGGACGCTACTGGATTCAGGAGGAATTCTGAAGACACATAGCTGGTGCCCAACCAAGTGTTAGGAATATAGTCAATATCAAAATGTTGTGGAGTCCTTCTCACATTGGCCTGCAGGAACATGACAAAGTTGACGCCCTTGCTAAGGCTGCAGTAAATAAAGACAGTATTGAACGGGATCTTCAGTTATAGGTCCCTTTAAAGTGTCATTAGACGAGAACTCCTGGATGGATTTGAAGAAAGTAGACCAGTGCAAACTGGAACTAGCAGATCCATTGTTCATCACAATGAAATGAGTGAAGTAAAACATGTGTATGGGGCAAGTAACAAAGTCAGTAGACTAACAGATGTTGTCACAGCTCGTATCTAGCAGTTCGGCTTGTATAGGGATCTAGATGAAGTAAAGTCTAAAATGTGTGGACAAAGACAGGGACACACACTCGAACACTATATCTTGGATTGTAGTAAAATTGAGCTATTAAGAGATAAACATAACCTCACTCTGAATGATATGGCAACCTATTTTATTACCATAGATAAAATACCTGAAATCCTTGCGCTGTATCCATATTTCGCTTCCAGTAGATAAATGACATACGAGATTAAGAAACTCAGTATTGTGAAGACTAATAATAAACAGCAACTTCCCTATGATTCCATTGCTCAAACAATTATGTATTAGCGATAAGACCTACCATTAATGTATGACGACTTACTGTAAATATATAGCTCTTGAAATAGAACATTCACTGTAACTAGCTGACATTGTAACTATAAGGTGTGAAGGATAGATGAAATTGTTAATGTAATAATCTAAGCTGGGGTCTGATAAAGACCTTTTGTGCCCTCTGTAATGCTTTTTGCGCTACCGCTCACAGGATGAGTATGGGGTGCACAATAAACTAGCCGCTTCCGGCGTCAACAATCAAAAATGGACTCTGGTGTGGGTAGTGGCGCTCTACACCATAAGGCTCCATTTAAACACACAAGGAAACCAGAATGACGTGATCCTCGTATGCATATAGTGAAGAACAGCCATTCCCCACACTACACGTGGATAGTGATGATGGTGGGAGGTGGTGGTGATGGTGGGAGGTAGTGGTGATAGTGGTGGATGGGTGGTGGGGGTCTAGTGGTGATTGTAGTGGTTTGTTGTTTGTGATGATTGATTGTGGTAGGTAATGACGTTTATTGGTGGTGGATAGTTGTGGGTGGTGGGGTGGTTGCCAGTAGGTGATGGGGCTGATGGTGGTGGTTGTGGGTGGTGATTTTTGGGTAGGGGAGGTGTTGGTTGTTGTTGTGGTGGTGAGTAGGGATGAATCGCAGAAGAAAGAAGATTGTGTGGTAGCCAGATACGAGGCCGGGAGAGGGGAGGGGGAGATGAAGGGGGTGAGAGAGATGGAGAGAGAGAGAGAGAGAGAGAGAGAGAGAGAGAGAGAGAGAGAGAGAGAGAGAGAGAGAGAGAGAGAGAGAGAGAGAGAGAGAGAGAGAGAGAGAAAATGACCTCTGGTAAGCCTCATTGATTTTGAAGTCCTGTCATATGGTATCGGTTCGCCCAAGCTCTTTTATGTGTTACATTACATATCTCAAGACAGGAGCAGGGAGAGAGACAGAGTTCAAGGGACGCCCAAACGTCTTGAATGGTAATTCACCCATTTGTCAAGAACGCACTTAGTTCTCATGAATGTCCTCTAATGTGTAACGCACACACACCGAAGGTTTTGAGCTTGGAACCAGGAGCTGAAGCTCAACCACAGCAATACCCCCAAACTAAAGTGTGTAAAGCAGTGGGGTCCAGACCCCCCTGACGAAATCCCTTCACAGTAACCTGAGTGTTAGAAGGAAAATATAATATACACAGTGATGCCAGACACCTGTTATTACATGACTCGTCTGACTCACACACGGGGGCATCCTCCACGGGGTCATCCTCCACGGGGTCATCCTCCACGGGGTCATCCTCCACGGGGTCATCCTCCACGGGGTCATCCTCCACGGGGTCTCCTCCTCCTCCACGGGGTCATCCTCCACGGGGTCATACTCCACGGGGTCATACTCCACGGGGTCATCCTCCACGGGGTCATCCTCCACGGGGTCATCCTCCACGGGGTCATCCTCCACGGGGTCTTCCTCCACGGGGTCATCCTCCACGGGGTCATACTCCACGGGGTCATACTCCACGGGGTCATCCTCCACGGGGTCATACTCCACGGGGTCATCCTCCACGGGGTCATCCTCCACGGGGTCATCCTCCACGGGGTCATACTCCACGGGGTCATCCTCCACGGGGTCATACTCCACGGGGTCATACTCCACGGGTCATCCTCCACGGGGTCATCCTCCACGGGGTCATCCTCCACGGGGTCATCCTCCACGGGGTCATACTCCACGGGGTCATCCTCCACGGGGTCATCCTCCACGGGGTCATCCTCCACGGGGTCATCCTTTACGGGGTCATACTCCACGGGGTCATACTCCACGGGGTCATCCTCCACGGGGTCATCCTCCACGGGGTCATACTCCACGGGGTCATCCTCCACGGGGTCATCCTCCACGGGGTCATACTCCACGGGGTCATATTCCACGGGGTCATCCTCCACGGGGTCATCCTCCATGGGGTCATACTCCACGGGGTCATCCTCCACGGGGTCATACTCCACGGGGTCATCCTCCATGGGGTCATCCTCCAAAGTGTCAAGTACCACGGGGGTCATGCTGCAAGGCGTGTTCCTGATTTATAGCCGATTGAGGCATGAATAGGAGCGGAGAGAGGGAGAGTGGAGATGAAATGAGAGGGAAAGATGGTAGGGAGAGAGAAAGAGGGAGTGAGGGGGAGAGAAGAGAGGAAGAGAGAGAGAAGAGAGGAAGAGAGAGAGAATAGAGGAAGAGAGAGAGAATAGAGGAAGAGAGAATAGAGGAAGAGAGAGAGAATAGAGGAAGAGAGAGAATAGAGGAAGAGAGAGAGAATAGAGGGAGAGAGAATAGAGGAAGAGAGAGAGAATAGAGGGAGAGAGAATAGAGGAAGAGAGAGAGAGAGAGAGAGAGAGAGAGAGAGAGAGAGAGAGAGAGAGAGAGAGAGAGGGAGAGAGAGAGAGAGAGAGAGAGAGAGGAACAAACAGTGATCCAAACTGCTCTCTCGCCTTCGTTCACATAGCTGTTATATGACTATTATTGCATTGCCATTGTTGTTTTTGCTGTTGCTGTTGTTGTCTTTTTTTTACTAGTGTTTTTGTTGACGGTGGTTTCTGTTGTTGTTACAATATCAATAAGCAAATAAGTTGCTAATAAGCCAATTTAAACAAATCAGTTTTAACAAATCGGGCTGATTTCAAGTGACAAGTAACAAGAAAACAAAGATAGAGAATGTAAACAAAACGAAACAAATACACAGTCAACTGACTCCTCCTCCCCCCCCTCCCCCTCCCCCCTCCCCCCCTCCCCCTCCTCCCCCTCCCCCCAGACCTAATTACACCGAATATTCTGGTTGGCTGAGAGATGACGTGACGTCAATACGAAGATCCTTTTCATTGGAGGACGTCAGCCAGACAGAGAGAGTCCTAACCATGAATGCAAAGCTAGAGTTAAAGCTAGAGAGAGAGAGAGAGAGAGAGAGAGAGAGAGAGAGAGAGAGAGAGAGAGAGAGAGAGAGAGAGAGAGAGAGAGAGAGAGAGAGAGAGAGATTGATTATTCAGAATAAAAAAAAGTCTAAGGGCAGGCTTAAGATGATCTGAGGTAGGATAACAGCTCTTGCTTGCAATTTCACTGGACACTTCACTTGACAACCCTAATGAACCCTAGTGTTAGTTACTCATAAAAAAACCAACAAAAGAGAGAGAGAAAAAAAGAGAGAGAGAGAGAGAGAGAGAGAGAGAGAGAGAGAGAGAGAGAGAGAGAGAGAGAGAGAGAGAGAGAGAGAGAGAGAGAGAGAGAGAGAGACCAACTCACGCCAGCCAATCACCAAAGGCCTTTCGCCTTGCGTTGAATTAAATCAGTCCAGCATTTCCAAAGCTCTTCTGAAATCGGAAATTCAACTGAGAATCTATTGCAACGCTACAACCAGCTCCCCAAGACACACTAGACCAGGGCCAACTTTACGTCACATTAGAAGTTTTGGGGGTAAAGATTAATTGGTTTAGGTTAATGACCTGACGAATTTATAAACACATATTTTGTTGGCATTTGGAACAAAGCTTAAACATTTGGAAGTGTATTATAATATGGATGTTTCGATGTATTCTTCACCATCACTAAGAACTGACAAACACAGCAAATTGAAACATTTGAAACTGAGCAAATACTGATTTACCAAATATTTGGATCAAAGCTGTGTCTGGGTACAAGTGACAGGATGAACAACCCAGCGGGTTTTCTTCCTATTGGGGAGTGTTGTACATGCTGCTATGGCGGTGTGTCCACTCACAAGATGAGTGGCGCTGCCCAATACTGTCACTATGGCGGTGTGTCCACTCACAGGATGAGTGGCACTGCCCAATACTGTCACTATGGCGGTGTGTCCACTCACAGGACGAGTGGCGCTGCCCAATACTGTCACTATGGCGGTGTGTCCACTCACAGGATGAGTGGCGCTGCCCAATACTGTCACTATGGCGGTGTGTCCACTCACAGGATGAGTGGCGCTGCCCAATACTGTCACTATGGCGGTGTGTCCACTCACAGGATGAGTGACGCTGCCCAATACTGTCACTATGGCGGTGTGTCCACTCACAGGATGAGTGGCGCTGCCCAATACTGTCACTATGGCGGTGTGTCCACTCACAGGATGAGTGGCACTGCCCAATACTGTCACTATGGCGGTGTGTCCACTCACAGGATGAGTGGCGCTGCCCAATACTGTCACTATGGCGGTGTGTCCACTCACAGGATGAGTGGCGCTGCCCAATACTGTCACTATGGCGGTGTGTCCACTCACAGGATGAGTGGCGCTGCCCAATACTGTCACTATGGCGGTGTGTCCACTCACAGGATGAGTGGCACTGCCCAATACTGTCACTATGGCGGTGTGTCCACTCACAGGATGAGTGGCGCTGCCCAATACTGTCACTATGGCGGTGTGTCCACTCACAGGATGAGTGGCGCTGCCCAATACTGTCACTATGGCGGTGTGTCCACTCACAGGATGAGTGGCGCTGCCCAATACTGTCACTATGGCGGTGTGTCCACTCACAGGATGAGTGGCGCTGCCCAATACTGTCACTATGGCGGTGTGTCCACTCACAGGATGAGTGGCGCTGCCCAATACTGTCACTATGGCGGTGTGTCCACTCACAGGATGAGTGGCGCTGCCCAATACTGTCACTATGGCGGTGTGTCCACTCACAGGATGAGTGGCGCTGCCCAATACTGTCACTATGGCGGTGTGTCCACTCACAGGATGAGTGGCGCTGCCCAATACTGTCACTATGGCGGTGTGTCCACTCACAGGATGAGTGGCGCTGCCCAATACTGTCACTATGGCGGTGTGTCCACTCACAGGATGAGTGGCGCTGCCCAATACTGTCACTATGGCGGTGTGTCCACTCACAGGATGAGTGGCGCTGCCCAATACTGTCACTATGGCGGTGTGTCCACTCACAGGATGAGTGGCGCTGCCCATACTGTCACTATGGCGGTGTGTCCACTCACAGGATGAGTGGCGCTGCCCAATACTGTCACTATGGCGGTGTGTCCACTCACAGGATGAGTGGCGCTGCCCAATACTGTCACTATGGCGGTGTGTTCACTCACAGGATGAGTGGCGCTGCCCAATACTGTCACTATGGCGGTGTGTCCACTCACAAGATGAGTGGCGCTGCCCAATACTGTCACTATGGCGGTGTGTCCACTCACAGGATGAGTGGCGCTGCCCAATACTGTCACTATGGCGGTGTGTCCACTCACAGGATGAGTGGCGCTGCCCAATACTGTCACTATGGCGGTGTGTCCACTCACAGGATGAGTGGCGCTGCCCAATACTGTCACTATGGCGGTGTGTCCACTCACAGGATGAGTGGCGCTGCCCAATACTGTCACTATGGCGGTGTGTCCACTCACAGGATGAGTGGCGCTGCCCAATACTGTCACTATGGCGGTGTGTCCACTCACAGGATGAGTGGCGCTGCCCAATACTGTCACTATGGCGGTGTGTCCACTCACAGGATGAGTGGCGCTGCCCAATACTGTCACTATGGCGGTGTGTCCACTCACAGGATGAGTGGCGCTGCCCAATACTGTCACTATGGCGGTGTGTCCACTCACAGGATGAGTGGCGCTGCCCAATACTGTCACTATGGCGGTGTGTCCACTCACAGGATGAGTGGCGCTGCCCAATACTGTCACTATGGCGGTGTGTCCACTCACAGGATGAGTGGCGCTGCCCAATACTGTCACTATGGCGGTGTGTCCACTCACAGGATGAGTGGCGCTGCCCAATACTGTCACTATGGCGGTGTGTCCACTCACAGGATGAGTGGCGCTGCCCAATACTGTCACTATGGCGGTGTGTCCACTCACAAGATGAGTGGCGCTGCCCAATACTGTCACTATGGCGGTGTGTCCCCTCACAAGATGAGTGGCGCTGCCCAATACTGTCACTATGGCGGTGTGTCCCCTCACAGGATGAGTGGCGCTGCCCAATACTGTCACTATGGCGGTGTGTCCCACTCACAAGATGAGTGGCGCTGCCCAATACTGTCACTATGGCGGTGTGTCCCCTCACAGGATGAGTGGCGCTGCCCAATACTGTCACTATGGCGGTGTGTCCCCTCACAGGATGAGTGGCGCTGCCCAATACTGTCACTATGGCGGTGTGTCCCCTCACAGGATGAGTGGCGCTGCCCAATACTGTCACTATGGCGGTGTGTCCACTCACAGGATGAGTGGCGCTGCCCAATACTGTCACTATGGCGGTGTGTCCACTCACAAGATGAGTGGCGCTGCCCAATACTGTCACTATGGCGGTGTGTCCACTCACAGGATGAGTGGCACTGCCCAATACTGTCACTATGGCGGTGTGTCCACTCACAAGATGAGTGGCGCTGCCCAATACTGTCACTATGGCGGTGTGTCCACTCACAGGATGAGTGGCGCTGCCCAATACTGTCACTATGGCGGTGTGTCCACTCACAGGATGAGTGGCGCTGCCCAATACTGTCACTATGGCGGTGTGTCCACTCACAGGATGAGTGGCGCTGCCCAATACTGTCACTATGGCGGTGTGTCCACTCACAGGATGAGTGGCGCTGCCCAATACTGTCACTATGGCGGTGTGTCCCCTCACAGGATGAGTGGCGCTGCCCAATACTGTCACTATGGCGGTGTGTCCACTCACAAGATGAGTGGCGCTGCCCAATACTGTCACTATGGCGGTGTGTCCACTCACAAGATGAGTGGCGCTGCCCAATACTGTCACTATGGCGGTGTGTCCCCTCACAAGATGAGTGGCGCTGCCCAATACTGTCACTATGGCGGTGTGTCCCCTCACAAGATGAGTGGCGCTGCCCAATACTGTCACTATGGCGGTGTGTCCCCTCACAAGATGAGTGGCGCTGCCCAATACTGTCACTATGGCGGTGTGTCCACTCACAAGATGAGTGGCGCTGCCCAATACTGTCACTATGGCGGTGTGTCCCCTCACAAGATGAGTGGCGCTGCCCAATAAACTCGCCCCTCGGGAAGGGTTGGCCCCCACACACACACTCTCACAACCACAACACGG